AATAATTGCTTTGAAATTTTACAATTATTATTAATACAATAATTTTTATAAAACAATTTTTCAAAAGTTTTTGATGAAGAGATGGAAAAATATCGTTTATATAGCATTTTTCAAATAGTTAGTTGCCTCGCCATTCAATCATTATTTTTGATTTTCAATAACAGATTTAAATACAATTGATTTGAATTTGAATTGAACTGATAATCTGCAAATAGACATTGTTCTCAATAGAAAATTCGCCAAGAAAAAACAATTGAACCTGTAATTTTTGTGTAAAAATGCAGCAGGATTTAGAATTAGAATGTTTATTATCAATCAAAGAACAATTTTTATTATATAATTAAAATCAGGAAAATTCATGACTTAAAAAGTTTAAATGGTAATCTATTGTTTGTTTGTTTTGAGATAAAATAAATTTCGTAATGAATTTCTTTTTATCATCATCATCATCACCATCATCATTATTATTGTCGTAATGATAAAAAGAGCGACACAATAACAAACTCTTTATTTTTCAAATTAATCAATCACCCAAGCTAAGGTTGACGATAATAATAATTAATTTATTTAAACAGATTGTTTGAGTTAAACATACCGGAGTTATATATTACTATTAAACGGAATTTATTATTATATCATGGGAAATTCAAGAAATAAGAATAATAACAAACAAATTTTTAATTATTCGACATCTTTACTATTAATTTAAAATTGGTCATATTACACAATAAAGATTTTCCTTATTCACATTGCTATTTAATTTTGCAATTAATATTAACTGGTAAGAAGGAATTTGGAATTAAAATTGCAGATTCATAAACTGTTACAATAGTTATTTAGTTAGTATTCAATTAATAAAAAAGACAACACCAGGAAAGATTGGTATTTTAATATCAATGTTAATGTTGATAGAACTAAGACCATTTATGGCTATATTCAAACACTTAAATGGATAATAATAACTATTCCATCGTGTGAAATAGGGAATACTCATGTGTCACTTTAATGCCTATTTACTACTACCTATTACTATAAACCATAATAAAAAAACAAATAAAAAAAACAAATAAAAAAAAAACAAAAAAAAACAAATAAAAATGCAACTGCCGCATATAATTAGAGAATACTAGTAATCACCCATGTTTAATTGGACAGAACAAACAAAAATAATAGTCATGGGCAATGGATTTTTATTGGTTCAAAAAATAATATCATGGGCAATGGATTTTTGTTGGTTTAGAAAAATAAATTTTTCCTGCAGTATTGTTATTTAGAAGTAATATGTCACAGATGACGAGAGTTCTACCAATATTTAACCACCAACAACAATCACTAACAATAAATAAGTACCATCGGAGGAAACTTTCCTCTAATATATACTTAATCAATATTAATATGCGGATTTTAAGCAGGACCGTTTTGACATAAATAAATACAACCAACCATGTGTGATTGGCTGTGCCAAGACTCTCAAATAGAGAGATGTTAATATTAATCAGCCTGGTTCAAATGATATTTTATAAAATATATTTAATGTATATTTATATTGAAACAAATCCAACTTTTAAAGACATAAATTCGTTTGTGTCTTCTCAGGATCAATCTATCACACAACACTAGTTACTTGTACTGAAAAAAAAAAAAAATCACGAGCCATGTGTATAATTGGAATTTTTAAATCTTGTAGAATACCAAAATCCAGATAATTTACTTTCCTCTGGTATCTTTTGATAAATTTATTGTTTCAAGTTGATTGATCAGTGATCTTGAAAGATAAATTATATTTTTCTGAATACAATTTCTAGTCATTTCTAATTCAGACTCGGAAAATGTTATCAATTCATGATATATAGCACCAAATTTACTACTACAATTTATCGTCAAGAGTTTTTGATTTTGGATCATCTTTTTTGTTATTCTTTAAAAGTGACGTTTAATTGTGCTAACTCTAGTGTTTTTACTGAATAATATAACTTTACAAAGTTCACTCACATTGTGAAGAACCATTATCAAGTTATTTACAAATATTTACGAATGCTATGTTTGGGCTTTGTTTGTTTGGAGAATGCTGTTGATGTTGAGGTTAATATTTTAACATCATCAAGATTGTCGATAATAAAAATAAAAGATTGTTGTTATGCTTCAATTTGATTGCAAGTGCCTTCGTAAAAAATCAAATTTTAATATTTATGTTACACACGGAATCTGAAACAGTTTGGTCCCGACTTTTTGGGACCCGGTCCCATCAAAACTGATAATTTAAAGGGTCGTAATAAGTTAGATTTTTGGTTAAAATTAAAGAATTTGGCTGATATTTTTTCAAAAGAATCTATTATTCATAATTCTAATAGTGTCTGCATGCAACCAAATTTTGCTTGAAATAGTAAAAACATCTTATTCATATGGCTGGCTACTATGTCGATTGGTGGCAAAATTTCAAAAATGGTCAATTTAATGATCAACAAAGTGAAAATAGTCAAATCGACCAACTTTTAAAGATTTTACAAAAAAGTTATAATTTGGCCAAGTCCGTGTAACCCTTCATTTAATAAGTTTGTTGTGTGAAAATTCACATATTTATGCACATCACTAATTCAAAAAAGGCCAATGTTACACTAAAGGACCCGTTGACAAACTTGCATCATCCTACTTACAGAAAGGGAAAAGAAAACTCCGAGACTTAATAAGAATAATAAGGATTATGATAATGACAATGATAATGATGAATCAATTATAACAAATCAAGCAATGAAGTATAGCTCGAGTCATTTATTTAGTCCCGACTTATTTCATATAGAAACCAACACTATTATTTCAGTTTTATTATTATTATTATTAATTGTTTTTTAATGAGATGACATTTTTTATGTGTGTTTGTTTAACGATCGAATTTGTTGATATCATGCATTATTATAAAAATGCCTTTTTTGAAATTTTGCTACTGATCGACATAGTGGTTGGGACTAGATGACTCGAGCTGTATTTAGTACAAATTTTATTGCTTTCAAAACGTTACACGTAATATATTTTTAACAACAGCAGCATCTTTTAAGGGTATGGTATCAAGTCAGTTTTTAAAATAACCGAGTATCTTCGGTGTACATGAAGCTTATTGATCACCATTGAAATTCCACCAGCTAATGATTATCACCTTTTAGAGTAAAGATCCGTGTCAGAAAATTGCCCACTTTTTTTTTTGTTTTATTGAAAATCCGTGTAACATTGCGAATATTACAACTTCTAAACTTGGTTTTGAAGATTAAAAAAACAGAATGTCATAATAACGTGTAACATTGGCAATTATTATTAAAACATATATATAAAAACGTCATATATTATTCTTTGCTGTTTAATTTGTAAATCTATGTGTATGCATCAGATAGATTTGTTCAAAGTTACCCCACATGAGATAGGGTTTGGACTAAATGATTCAGGTTATGGTTGTAAATCAAACACATTTCGTACAGTATAGTGCAAGTCACCTAGCCCCGTAACTTTTATTCCTCCAAAAAATCGTAAAGTCTAGGCTAAGTTCTTTCTCCACACATAAAGTTACGATTTCATTTTATCAGCACAAGTTTACTTCACGTTGCACGTAATTTTTTAGCATTAATAAAAAAAATGACTGTTAGGTCATGTGATTTCATAGTATGATGACACCAAAAATATTAGATACCTTATTTGCCACTATATCACAGAGACATCCGAATGTTAATGCAGTGTTGTGCAATTGGAACATTGTAACGCTGTTGGAATGTTCCAATGTAGATCTTCAATTGATATCAACCAATAAAATTCATGTGTATGACATTGTAATTGAATTTCATTGGTTAACTTCATTGGAATCACATTGGGATCACATTGGAATCACATTTGAAATTTATTAGAATGTTCCAATTGAAATTTTATTGGAACCATAAATGGCACAACACTGTGTTAATTTATTACAAAAATGATGAGAATTTGTAAAAGTGCGCGCGAAGTTAATATTGACATTTACCTCGTTAAAAGTTATTAAATTAAAATTAAAATTTAATCTAGAAGATCAAAACAAGTGACTATTTATAGTTATTATAATTTAATTAGCTGATTCGTTGACGACTGTTTTATTTGAAGTTAGATTTCAACAATCGGGGAAACAAACAATAACAAATACAATATAAATAAAATAAAGCAATATTGAAATTTATGTAAATACCAATACTAATACATGTGTGGTGTAAAATCAGATATCAGCTATATTAATTAATATTAATGTGTAATTTAAAATATATAAATAGTTTCCGTTATTTATTATAAATAAATTATTCTTTAATAATTGGATTATTATTGTTTTATTCCATATCGGAAATGATTGTATTGTTTACATGTTTGTTATTTTCGGAACTTTATTCAAATATATATATACGTAAAATCTCTTTCTAATGATTATGAATATATACATGCATTTTCATGTTTGTCATCCATCTACAAATAATTTTTGTGACAAAATGTGCATTATTTCTAATACTAACAAATTTGTTTTTGTTACCTAAACTATTTGCTACAACGAATTGGTTTAAAATTATTTCAGTCGTATTTTTTGTTTGTTTATAATCATTTGCACACTGTTTTATCATACAAATTATATATAAATAAACAAGATTTTTTTTTTTCAAAATAATAAATGGATCTTTATTATTATTATTATTATTAATATTTTGAATCCAAAAAATATCAACCAAATACAATCTTTTGTTCGCTTCGTTTCAACAGATTAATCTATTCATCTCATTGATCGTTGATTCGCTGATTCTCTCTCCTTTACTCATCCGCATTTGTGGATTTTTATTTCATTCATTTATTCACTCCATTATTATAGTTCACTTCTTTCCATTTTTTTCCCCCATAACTTCCTCCATCCATCCATCCATCCATCCATCCATCCATTAATTCATTATTCGACCATTTAATTCATCCTTCCATTTTTAGACTTTACAAATTCTTTTGGATTTTTCAAGATGAGAGGTATAATGACAATTATATTACCAATAATAATCTATCAATTAATAATCAACTTTCCCTATGTCGGTGCAAATTTGATTGCGTTCAATAAAGACGATGTTTTGAGTGCGTATGAGAATGTGGATATTAGAGGGATAAATCAAACTGGCTATGAAAAAATAGTCGGAACTTTCAATATCGCAAGGTTTTTAGTTCCTATTGCTTCCTTCAAAGACGACGAAGATAATAACTTAAGATGCAAAATAGACCCAAAATCTTATGATGGTGTTGATGTTTTGGTTATTTCTTTTGAGGATGCTAGATCAGTCGGTAATTGTGCTACTTATGCTGATATTCTTCAAAGAAATCACTGGGTATATACGGATCCAAAAAATATTCCTAAACATCCAAATTACGAAGATCCGGATCCAAATAATAATAATCATGGTAATAATGATCCCGGTAATAATGATCCCAATAATAATAGTAATGACCAAGGTAATAATAATAATAAAGATCCAACCGTTAAAACAATTATTGCCACTGATGGTAATGGAAATGTTTTCACTTCCGTCGTTAGAGCTCCCGCCGCAGACCCGCCGGTTCAAACAGGTTTTTTTTTATTTGATTTATTTATTATTATTGTTATTTATATTCGTATATATTTTTTTACCTAATTTATCAAATTTACTTTTAACCTCCCCTCCCTCCCACACCCATATAAATAGATCCATCACCAAATCCAAAAGTAAGTCATCCATGCACGAATTTATTTATATATTTATTTCTCTTGATTTATTTATAATTAATTTAAACTAAAACGTCAATAAATTTATCACAAAATAATCAGCAACAAAAACCACAACAACAGCCAGATAATAATGTTGTAGCAGTAAATAAGCCAGAACCAGCTGGTAATACTAACGTATTAACAAATACGGATGCACCTGCTAACACGGACACCATTATCATAAACAACAACACACCACCACCTCAAACTGAAGCAGCACCACAAACTACTGCACCACCTCAGGAAAAAGTACCGACACTTACAGACACTACACCACCACTTCAAACTGAAGCAACATCACAAATTACTGCACCACCTCAGGAAAAAACACCGACATTTACAGACACTACACCACCTCAAACTGAAACAGCATCATCAACTACAGATACTTTTTTTGTAGACGGCACTTTGTCGATATTTACAGATATTACATCAACTCAAATTGAAACAGCGTCACCAACTACAGATACTTTTATTGTAAGCAGTAGTACACCACCTTTGGATAATACAGTTACTTCTAGTGTAACTGACGTCACAGATAGCGTAAACGGTAATGGGCAGAGCCAAGCTAAATCTCAAACAGTTCAACAGCAAACATCTCAAACTCCAACCAAACAAACTCCCAAACCGTCACCAACATCATCAAAAAATAAAATTCTTGATGTAACAGTGTCCGCAACAATTTCATCTGTAATCGGTGTAGATGTTGGGGTCGGAGTTAAAACCAATAAAAAACGTGATTTGAACCTTAAAACCCCTCAAATGATACTTTTTTCTTCAACAAATGGCGGAGATCCTGGTATTAAAGAACTTTTTAGTGGCAATAGAGAAACTTTAAAGATGTCAGTGCCCATACTATCATTATTAAAACTTGAAGATGTTATAACACTTCAAGGAATATTAGATAGAATTGATCATGTAGTAGTCACCCCTGGTATTTATTTATTTAATTACTCTTTTAAAAACCATATAAATAATTCCCTAATTTTATAATTTTTCATATTAATATAGAAAGTGGACCTTGGGTAAAAATATTATCGGGTACAGAATGGCTTGTGTGGTCAGTTATAATTAGTAGTTTGTTCATTGGCATTGTATTTTTGGCCCTTTATTATCTAGTCAAAACCTATCAAGATATAGGTTTTGTGTACGGAAACATTAAATTTTGGTTATACCCCGGGATCATAATTGTCAATATATGTAAGATATAAGTTTTTATTTTTTTTTGCACGAATGCCAATTTGTAATTGATTGATCTGATCGATCGATATATTTTTTTTATTTGTAGTGGCGTTTATAATCGTGACTGTTGATCCTGATGATATTTACGAGGATCGGATTTCTTTATCAGGTCGAGCGTCAATAACATACTTGAAAAACATGTTACTTTCAATTTTTTTTTCAATCATTGAATTTTCTTGGTAAATATTGAATATTTTTCAAAAAAAAAAGTATATTTATTTTTACTCTCTCTCTAATAATATTATAATATTTTTAGGAAAAATGCAGCAACGTATATTTGTAGAGATAATATGCATTATGTAGCTTTTTCCAAAAAATTGAATGCTATTTATAAATATTTGATATCGTTATGTATGTTGGTCTTTGTTTCGTGTTTTATTATGAGGGTAGTTATATTTTTAAATCCGACGAGTGAAGACTTTAAAAAAGTATTGGGTATTAGTTATGCAATGGAGTCTGTGGGTTTGGTTGTTTTGGGAGTTGAATTTCTGGTTTTTGGGTGGTTGATTGTTACAGCATTAAGAAAAAGGGTTTCACAGATTCCTTTGCGTCGAAATAGATTAAGAACCAGTAGCAAGGTATTATTAATTACTCTTGTTTTTTTTTTTTTGAGATTTTTGGACATCAACTAATAAATTTATATGATATGTAGGTCATCGTAATGATCATTTCAATATTGATATCCATTGTATTTTTTATATTTTCTGGTTCATTATCATTCTTTGTCACAACAGTTGCTAATTTTTGGGGAGCACAGGTAATTGATTATTAATCAATTAGTTATTTATTTTTTTTATTCTCCAAACGAATCTAATTCCAAATAATTCCAAAATAATTTTTATAGATCACATCAAATTTAGCGGTAGTATTATGTAGTGTGATAATTATATTAGTTTTACAAGATAAAACTATTGGTAAAAGTTTGAGCCAATCGAATTTTACAAATAAAAAGAAAAAATCTGTTGTATCGGCTATAACATTATCAGATGATGATGATAATAATGCATTAGAAAAAGACGAAGAAATTGATGACAATGGAAATAATAATTTCCCAACAATAATATCTACATCACCGGGAGAAACTTCAATGATCGACATACCAATAACCCCATCTTCCATATCACCACTTCCCACTATTTATTCTTCGACTTCGTTAAATCCAATGCTTGAATCTCCATTCAATGACGATAGCTATTATAATTACCGAAGGAGAAGCAGCGGTAACTATAGTTATATTTATAATTATATTAATAGTAATAATCATAGTAATAATAGTAGTAGAGATAGTAATAGTTATAGTATTAAAAATAATAGTAGTGGCAGTGGCAGTGGCATTAATAATAACAATAACAATAATAATTATGATAGTAAAAATAATAGTAGTGGCAGTGGTAGTTATAATAGTAATATTGATGTTATTAATGAAGATGAAATTGGGATTATTACTAAAATTGTGGCAGATCCATAGTAGTCATCATAGTGATAATTAACGACGAGGATAAAATGATTATTTTTCTGATTACAAAATCTTATGTAATATATGACACATATATAATGATTTTATATATTATATATATATATAGATGCTATGCTTTTTTATCTATTATACATATGGATAGATGTTATGCTTTTATCTATTATACATATAGATAAATATTATGTTTTTATATATCATACATATAGATATTCGATATTATACATATTATATTATATTTGTACTTTTATATTATATATATATATATATGTAAAAAATCTAAAAAGGTGGAAAATCTTTGCATAATAAACTTTAATTGATGTTTATTTTAAATATAAATTAAATATAAATTAAATTAAAAAATTAATGATAAAACTACAATAATAATAAAATCTACAAAAATGAGATCTATTTTACAAAAAAAAAAAAAAAAAGTAATCTATTTATTTATTTATTTATTTACTTGGAAAATAAATCAAGTTCACGTATCGCGGATGCTAATCGTTTATAGTCTTCCAATAATTCTATAATATGATGTGATATAATAATTTAGATAAAAAAATTTGTTTTCAGGTCAACCAAAAAAATAAAAAAAAACTAAATAAAAAACCTGGGACATCTTTAATACGAATATCTTCCACCGAACAATCTATAAACTTTTGAATTGGTGGTAAAATTTTTAAATTATTATTATTTTCTTCCGACCCTGTTGCAATTATTGGAGTTGAGGTTGTTGTCATTGAAGAAAACCTTGGAATAACATTAAAAGGAAGTAAGCGACCTGTCAATGATTTGCTTTCAATCTTATTGCTGCTGGTATTATTGTTGTTAATATTAATATTATTACTACTGTTATTATTATCATCATTATTGTCATCATCATCACCACCATCACCATTATTATTGTTATTGTTATTGTTATTGCTTATTTCAGTTAATTCTTTTTCTATCACACTTGTTATTAAATTTGAGTCCGTCATAGTATTTTTTGATTTTATTTTTGTTGAATTTGTCGCATCTTTCTCTGATATAATAATATTATTAGTACTATTGTTATTATTATCAACATTACTAACATCATTATCACTATTATTAATAGTAGTGGTGGCAGTATTGTTAACAATATTATTGTTGTTATTATTGATAGAATTACTTTCATTATATCCAAGCATACGTCCAAACAGTTTATATGATGAATCTAATGCATCAGTGAAAACTCTTAAACTAGTAGCTGCCTCAACCAATTCTTGTCCTACTTTTCTGCCAACACTTAGTTCAACATTCGACGCATTATTGGCATTATTAATAATATTGCTATTGCTGTTGTTACTAGTGGTGTTATTGCTAATAGTTAACGATGTTGGGCTTTGGATTCCTGTCACATCACTATAAATATATGCATATATATATATATATATATAAGTCTATACAAATAATATGTGTTTTAATATAAGGTTATTTGTATAAATTAAAACTAACCTTAAAGCTTTTTCAGGACTTAAACCTAAACCTGAATAATCTACATTCTCCAAAAATGCTACTACTGCCAACTATATTTAATTAATTGAAAAATCAATTTAAATAAATAAAAATTGAAAAAAATTAATATTAATTTAGATTATTTACGGTATTTGTAAGACAATATGAGGATTCGCCATATAATAATGTTCGAACTCTGTATCTTTGTATGTATCTTTTTAATAATTGTATTTATAATTATAATTGGAGAGATAATTAATAATTAATAATTACAAATGATAATGATAAACAAACAAACAACAACAAAACAAACAAACAAATTACTTTAAATTAGAAACCAAGCCTTTTGGATTTGATTTAACTACTGTGAAAATTAATAATGGTAAAATTAAATCTGCTGCTGGATCACTACTACCATTGGTTTCTAACTTTTCATTTCCCTTTTTACTGGAAGTAGGTGAAGTAGGTATTAATTTAGGTGATAACGTGGATGACGATGTAGGCGATAATTCGGGTGATGATTTAGGTGATGATTTAGATGATGATGTTGATGGTGATGTGTCATTGCTTCCATTTACTTTTGTTGTTGTTAGTATGGGTCTTGGTGGTAGAGCTGATGGCGAAGGAGGAGGTAGTGCTGGAACTGAAGAAGAAACATCATCTTTTTCTTGTTCTTTTGCGGAATCAACATCTTTTGCAGAGTCAACATCTTTTGCGGAATCAACATCTTTTGCGGAGTCAACATCTTTTGCGGAATCAACATCTTTTGCAAACTCGACATCTTTTACAGGCTCGATATCTTTTACAGAATCCATATCTTTTGTAGAATTCACATCTTTTGCAGAGTCGATAGCATTCTTTTTTTCCCTTTTTTTAAGAGATTCTAAAACAGACACCATTAGAATACTACTATAATATTGCTTATTATTATTATTATCTTTTCTTAAAGTAATTTATCATTAATAATTACCAACAATGATCTTATGACAGAGCACAAGACTTTCAAGTTTTTCAAGTGGAGATTTTCTTTTGTTCAGATTTTGTAATTCTATACCAGCGTTCTGAACTGCCATATCAATCGATTCTTGCTGATTTGATTCAATAATATCAACACCAAGATGTTTTAAATTCAAATCTAGTAGGTTTAATGCTGCTATTTTTGAACTTAACAAGTTATCATGTATACCATTATCATTTGACCAGTTTGGACAAAAAATACTAAGTTTAAAAAAAAATTTATTAATTAATTAATCATTAACATATGTTATAAATCAATAGTCAATATATATATATATATTTATAATAAATGAGATAACTTACCTATCGTATAGCGTGGCACATACATATTTCTCGATGGCATTTAATTTTTCAAATATTTCAATCTCTGAATCATCAATTGATTTTTCAGTGGTATTGATCTGTTTCTCAATTTCTGAATGTATAAATTCATAAAATGATTGGATTTTTTCACATGTTGACTCTTCATTTAATGGTGGATCTTTTATAAATTTATCAATAAAACTATTATCAATAACAATATATTAGTATCATAATAATAATAAATAATAATAATAATAAAATTTGGAAAAAATCTTAACCTGTTAACTTCAATAAGCAATGATTCAGATAAATTAGGTGGTTCTATGTTTTTTTTATTGGCTGTTTCTTTTGTGGCAATTTTCTCTGATATTTCTTTAAATTTAAGTGACGATTCTATTACAATTGCTTGGATCGTCATTCCTTGTAATAAAATATCAACATTACTATTGGTTATCTTGATGGTTGGATAATCATCATCAAGATCATCTGGTATTGCAAAAGAGTCAAATACTGATCTGTGAATCACAAAGATTATTTTAAATAATTATTAAATGCCCCAATTGTTAAACAACCTGTTACTAAAAGTACAATATTAAATGAATCTCTCTCTACCTGCGATTCTTTGGATTGTCCAAAAACGTTGAGGAAAGTTCATGTTCTGAAGGCATTAAATCTATAGCCTTAAAAACCTCACTAATAATGATTTAAATAAATATATAAATATACGTAAAAAATTTTATTTATTTTCCAACAAATTATATTAAAATCTATCACGCATACTTTTGAATGAATCCTCTGATTGCACTCATTGTTATTACTTTAGTACCTTCATCTATTGGTAATGTGAAAATTATATGATCTTGCAACAAATCCCTATCAATTGTCTCGAACGGCATAATAGATGATGCTGGAAGTAATAATGTTGCCTAATAATTATTATAATCATTATTTAATTATAATAGTTTAGTAACAATTCATCAAAAACATAGCAAACAAACCTTTTTGGAAATTAATAATTGTATGATATCAGAATACATCTTATCCATTTCACGAAGTTTAGTCAATATTTGTCCACCAACAGAATCTACCGATACCGGATACGAAAAAAATCTTAAAGAAGAAGAAGAAGAAGTTGATGAAGAAGAAGGTGATCGCCTGGTAAGTGGACTTGCCCATTTAGAAATCAGTAGATCACTGTTGTTGTCCTCCTCGTCATCATTATTTAACAAAGGATGATGAGTTAAAGAATCAATGCTTTGTACTTGTTTCAATCGTATTGAATTGAATTGTGAAGATGTTGGACTTTTCATTTGTAAACTTGTACTAGCAGTCGCAATAGTAACTGGCGAAGAAACCAATTCTTCTAAATTTACATGATTACTATTACTATTTGAATTAGTATTAGTAATAGTATTGGATGTATTTGGAGTATTAAGATCAGAATTACTCGAGTAATTTTGTCCCTCGATTTCCATCTCTAAATATACAAGTAATGGTAATTAGTTACAATGCATGCTTGTTAAATCGCAACTAAAATTCAAGCTTGAATACTTACATAATAGCAGTAGTGGTGAGTGAGTGAGTGATATAATGTATTAATAATTTATATATGAGCTGTTCTAGATATTTTTGAATGTGTTGGAATTCTTTTAAGTTTTAAAGTATTTAAAATTTAATTGGTTACATTTTTTATACATTTATATTTAATATAAATTGCATAATATTAACGTCCCAACATTATAGGAAAATCCATTCTGCATAAAATTGTTGTTGGCAGAAGATAAATTATTGGACAAAATTCGTTTTAGATCATTCAACAAGCTTTCAACATGTGATCAAATAGAAGCTTGATGAATCGGAATGTGATATTTCTAAATAGCAGTGAATTTTATAGATTAACCTGTCAGTGTTAATAATGATAGTTTAGCTCGATTAATTGAGGAACAAAGAATTATCCGTTTGTTCAACCAGCTTTTATAATTTTGTCAATTAAATTAATAAATGCAATTTCAAAACATTCACAGTCAATAATAGATTATAAATCTGATCTGATGGAAATAATGATTTAGATTCTTCGTTAATACAAACATTTCAAAATTTAGAGTAATAATAATAGTCTTGGTATCAATTTCAACTTTTTTAAAATCTATTTCATTCCCAAACCTCAAAGTTCTGGAATTATTATTTATGAGTAATCACTTTGATAGATTTAATCGAAAACACTTGAAGAGCTAATGATAATTGATCATCTACCAATAAATTACCAGGATAAATTAGATCAAGAGTTAGCTTGTGTATTTAGAAATAGTTACGATCAGAAGGATATAATTGATGGTGATATATTACGAGTATTAAACCAACTTTATCAATAAATTTAAATTCTATTTTCATTTTTTTCAATAATAAATAATTCATTGGATCTTTGCTTAAACCTTTATGATAGAAACAAATAATTGATTGGAAAGTGAGCATATTAGTATGGACAAGAAATCAAAGTATAATTAAGAATTTTATAAGTTTCATCATTTTTATCTATTTTTTTTTTAGATGATTTTCGAGCAATAAAAATCAATGATGCAGTCCCTTCTAATAAATTTTTTGAATTTACATCACGTCGGGAGTACTAGTACTGATCTCGTGTACATTTCAGGGAATCAAGGAAAAGGTGTATTAGTATTAGCATTATTTCTCAATTATCCATTTTTTTCTTCGATGAATTCAAACAAAACAATATCAATATACAATGAAATAATGATCGTCTAAATTTGATTACACTTCTTGATAACACTTTTCCTGCTTCTATTCATCGAACTAATCATCAAAATTCTGTCGGACAGCCTAATCAACGACAACCTCCTGAATCAACTAATCAACATATCTCTCAACAAAATAATGGTGGTAATTGTTCTGAACAGACAATGACAACCAATCAATATACCAATTTATTAGCTGTACAAGAGCAACTTCAATGATGGCAGAGAAACACAAACGTCAATAACAACAACAACAGCGACGATAACAACGATAATAACAATATCAACGACAACCTTATCACATTGGCACCAGCAGAGTTATATCGTCCCATGCTCATCTGAAAAAATTTAGTAAGCAATTAATATTTATAAACAGCTAACAGTTTATATCGAAGGAATTGAGCCTAGATGCTCCTCGCACATTATTAACACGGATGAACCAGTTCATCTGAATTCACAATATGAGAAAAACCCCTCTAACGATACCTTTGACAGAGGCAGAGGAGGATCTACTCAAGGAATTAGACCCGGGAGTATTTATAGCTAACACTCTTATCAACATTGAAAAATTTAAATCGCTCACTAATCACCATCCCAATCGAGGGTTCGTGAATTATATAATAATAAGGTTTATCAAAAGACTTTCGTTACAAATGAACCTCGTACATCAGTATTCAAAGCATTCATTGACAACGATAGAATTATAGGTCCTTTTGAGTTTACGAACCTATCTGTGAATTAATGTAGAATCAATTCGTCTGTACTAGCACCTAAACGAGACAATGAATAGAAGTTCCGAGCATAGGGTTTCCATGTTTCTTATAAAAATGCTGGTCATGTGGCGAGGTAGATTTGTAGTTTTGGAGAAGGTTGCTTTTTATCAAAAAGTATGACTACCGCATTTTACCTATACATCCTCTCGACCAAACATCACAAGGTTGTCTGCAATGGTAAAATATGCTTCAATAGAGGACTATATAGCTTTTAATAATCGCGTATCAAAAGGAATTTTTTGCAGGTTTGCAGACCTGTTTATATGTATTGCCGGTGATTTAGGAATACCAGCAAAAATGCACTTGACCGAATTTCTCCTGATCACACTCTGTAAATCAAGAGTAAATACCTCTATAGGTCGAAGAGATTACAATGGAAGTTCTTCAGGCGAGATTCAGATAACAATCAACTGTCATTTTAACACTTTGAGAGGGTAAATACTATTTGTGTGAATACATCATAACAATTTATAAATATATTTTTTTTAACCAGCTACTGAGCGTATTTGGTCTATTTATTTGAGGACACACAAGTTAATTAATAATTTAAAAATATACAATGTTCATTAATAACAGTATGATGATATTAATAGAAGATCATCTCATTATTGGCCAGTAACTTATGTGCCATCCATGTTACATTAGTGAAGGACGACATGTATATGGCCAAGGGAACATGATAGTTACCATATCAAAGACAATTACACTTCTTTAAATCAAACACCTAGATTTCATGATTTTTAACATACTTTTTTAATTTATTTCTAAAAATTGATCTTGACAAGAGAAATGCAAATAAGGAAAGAAGTTGCATAGTTCAATCTTATATTAGTGTTAAAAAATAAAAATAAAATGGAGAAAAGAAGAATTAGAAGACTAAAACTTGCAGAACTTCGTAGAGCAAGAGAAGAGCGTAGGCAAGTATTTAGGCATGTCTCATAAGAACAAATTAAAAATCATGTTCTTGGAATACAGAAAACAAAAGGAGAAAATGCATACGTTTCCAGAAAGAAAATGAACAAAAAAATTTTACAATATGTTTAACGTCATGAAAGAATCTATTAAAAATGAATTTAATTTAGAAATGGACACTATTAATAGAGCAATTGACAATAACAGTGAAATTAAGAAAAATGGAATAGAATATATAAAACATTTCGTCGAAGAAATAGTAAGTTTAAACAAAAACTTCTGCTTATCAATTGCTTGTTATACGTTTCTAAAAATCCAACCTTTATATTAATCACATTCCCCTATTATAGGATAACAATGGTGTCAATGATGTCGTAAATATTTTAAAAGACATTCTGTTTATTAATTTATTCGTTTCATATTTCGGGACCAAGCAATCAACATTTACAGGGTTTAGTAATAAATGATAATAAAATGAGTAATGACGGTAATAGAATGAATGATAATGGTAATGAGTGATAATGGTAATTGTTGATAAGAGATTAAATTTGTGTGTAAAAATTTTTTTTGAGAGAAGTAATTCTTTATTTATGGTAAAAAAAGCCGAAGAGTCTATCATATCAGACCATGAAGGCACAATTCTGATGCTGCAACATTAGGCGAAATAAGGAAATATCAAAAAACCACAAATCTGCTAAGTAAATTACTGTTTTCAAAAATAGTAATCAGAATAATAAACTAGTTTTTATTTTATTATTACAACCATGTTGATATTATTGGGTGTTCCATTCAAATAATCAAAAGCGATTGGTCCCGTAGTAGAGTTGGTGTATCTTGGAATTACTATCAATACTAAAAATATGTATGTATCTATTCCGTCAGACAAGAAATTAGAAATGATACGTGTGTTTTAAAGAATTCTTGAGTCAACTTGGATCAATCCTTGGTTGGAGTTTTTGGGCATGTCAATTTTTTCCACAAAGAAGACTGTTTCTCCAAGCATTGAACAAGAAACCGTTGGGAAGTCGGTAGTAACAACAGAATTATTATCACATTTGAAATAAAAAGGTGAATTAGGCTGGTGGATATCCATGCTGAAACAATGGAATGTAATATATATTTGTTTGAAGAAACAAAATGGTCACTCATCATTAGACAATTTTTACATAGATACCTCCTCCTTGTGGATAGGTGGGTATTACATATGGGAACTTTTACACGGGAAATTCTGAGAGACGAATTTAGAAATAATATACAAGTTATTAAGGAATGTACTAATACGTGTTGTGCGTTTCCGTGAAAACGTTTAGTAACTTCTGGCCTAGACGGAGATTCATCATCCATACAAACTCACAGCTAAACATTATAGCATTAGGAGGAGAATCACAGCCAAACATTGTAGCATTAGGAGGAGGGGCTTGAAGCAACACATTTGTACGTAATATGATAAATATGGTTGTTTGCTCAACAATCTATACACTCTTTTGAGATTGGAGTATGTAGATGCCAAAGAGGACACTAACTATCAAGGGGTCAAGCAATACGAGTCACACAAACAAGACCCAACTTGAACTTGCTAGCCACAAACAGGTCAAATTCACGATAGAACACCCATTTATCTCCTCTTGGGACTACTGTATAGATAGACATATTAATATACTATAATATTACAATTATAAATCAAGAAACATTGATTTAAAAAAAAAATTTTTTTTAATTATTTATTTATATATTTTAAATTTTTTTTAGGTATTACATGATTGAATTGATAAAATATATAATTTTTAAACATATTATAATAGCGAAGATTATATAAATATAAATATAAATATAATATAATATAATAAATTAATTATAATATAATAAAAAAATATTTATTTAGCAAAAAAAAAATTGTCACTTTTTTATTAATTATTCTTCCAAAGGTTGATATTGAGGTGTTGTATCATGTGGTGATACTTTACGTGGTGGTACGTCTGTTTTATTATTATTATTATTAACGGGAATATTATAATAATTATCTGCTGGATCAATTGGTTTCGTTCGCCAAGTTTCTTTATTTTGATCATGTCCCGTATTATTATTATTGGTATTATAGGTATTGTTATTAGTTTGATCATATCCCGTATTATTATTATTGGTATTATAGGTATTGTTATTAGTTTGATCATATTCCGCATTATTATTATTGTTGTTGGAATTGCCGCCAGTAAGAATATTAGCGGCGTTGCCAATGATGTTCTTATTTGCTAGACCTTTAATATTGGTATTGATATTACTGGTTAGATTACTAATATTGGAATTAATATTGGATTTTTGTCGAAGGTTTGAAACTTGAACTTGAAGTCGTTGAATACTATCTTGTAAAAGTTGAACAGCATCTTTCAATTTTTCGGTAATTGTGACTTCAAGTTGCTTTTTAATCTTGTTCTGAGCCAATGGAGTTAAAATTTTATACAAGACACTACAAAAATAAAAAATATGCATATTCATTAGAAAAAATAATTATCTTTTTCCCAGATTAAAAAAAATACACATATCACTTACTCATGTTTTGATTGGTGTATACGAAGTTTGAGGCTTTCAATGGTAGTGTCTGCTTCTAATACATTGAATCGAAGATTTGGATGGTCTTTTGTTGGCGCTTCTAACAATAATTTTAGATGAAACTTTAAACCATTATGTGGAATGGAAAAGTCGACTAATCCTAAATCATTCATATTGATCACTCCTTTCTTCTTCTTGTAATAAAATGCAATGTTACGTGCATCAGCACGAATTTTAGAACTAATTTATTTAAACAGGAATAAAATAAATAAATTAGTTGAAATCGATTGATTAAAAAAAATTAACGATTAACGAATAGTAATTACATACACTTCGAAGAAGGCATAATTTTTTATTAGACTGGTGGATTCACGATCTAGATTAATATCTGATGTTAAGCTGAGGTGAGCATGACTTGGTAAAATTTCTGGTAAGTGAAGAACCATATTATCAAAAGCGAAATCATATTCATCATCTGAATTTTCAATTCTTGGAAGTGGTAAATATTGCAACTGAGTGGTAAGAACAGGGATGATTTTTGCAGCATCTTTAATGAGCTCATATTTAATTGTTGGACTTCCACTTTCATCCAAGAAAAGATCAGTAATCAAATTATCGAGGTCTCTTCTCCACTGAGCAGTAGTTGGATCGTTTTGGATTGCTTCATTGAAGGAATTAGCTTGTCTTCGAACATTTTCACTTTGTTCACGATATTTCTCCAACAAAATTTGTCTACCAGTGGTAATCAATTCTGATCCATACTGTGTGTAATCTGTATTCTCTACGAATTCAGTGTCGTGAAGTGATTTGCCAATAAATTGTCGAACTTCTTTGAAATAATCACGTAACTCTTGATCATTTTTCATTTGTCTACCAAATTCTCTGATTGAATCAATCAAAGGATCGAGCGATTGATTAGCAAATTTCTCAACAATATCTTTGGCATTTTTAGTGGCAATTTGTATGGAATCATTTTTATTTACTTGTTCTCGAGGGCCAGCCAAATTATCAGATAAATGTTGAGTAAGTTCTTGAGTTTGTTGTGAAAGTTGGGAGATCAAATCCATTAATTCACTAATTGCGTCTTGATACTGTTGATTTCTGTGTGCTTCAATCATGACATTTTTAAAACGATTCACCAATCGATCACGTTCTTCATCGCTAAGTTTACGAACGGAGACATTTTGTTGAACAGAAGATTGTAATGATTTTACACCACCAGTAGTAGCTTCTTTTAACGATTTTTTGCCTTCACTAAAATCTTTAATATGTTCGCCACCAATGTTTGCAGCATTCTTGGCTAATGGATAGGCATTTTCTCGTAATGTTTGTGAAGTTTTGTCTGCAGTTCCCCTTGCATTTTGTTGAATTTCCATCTTTGTTTGGTCAGGATCTTGAGCATGGGATCCCTGCGTGACGATGTTATTGTTATTATCATAATCATTTTGATTATCACTTTGGTTTGGAAGATTTATGCTAACTACTTCTTGAGCAATCGAGTTAAGATCATTGAGTAATGCACGAAATTCTGGACTTGACATAACAAGACTAGGGATTCTAAGGATTTTTTGGTAAGCACTTTGAGCTGTTTGTGATGCATCTCTTTGTGCAGCTGAAGTTTCTGTTCGAACTTTTTGTTTAAAATCACCTGGAATAGACGTATTATCTGTTTTGTTTTTTTTTGATTGTGTGTAAACAAATACAAAAATAAATAACAAGTTTTGAACGGGAAAATAATTTACGAGTATTATTTTTTTATTACATACCATTAATATCTTTTGCGCCTTGAACACCATGATAAACGATATTTTGTAATTGGTTGCCAGCATTTTTTTCTTCGAGAACTCTTTTTGTACTTTCTAATAATTTTTCAGTATCAGCTAATACGCGTTTGCCCAATGGGGTCACGCCTTGACCAGCATTATGGAGTTCGTCAGAATTTTGAATTTTATCAATGGTTTTGGTGATTTGTGCTGTTGATGGAAGTTTTCCATCCCTAAATCCAAATAGAATAATAATAATAATAAAATGGATTATTAGATGAAGGGGAGAGAATTGGATTAATCAATAATTTGATTTAATTATTTGTTTAATTACTTCAAGGCTCCGACGACCTGTCCAGTTTTATCACGAGCTTCGAGTGCCTTTTTTTCAGCGGCATCACGTGCAGGATCATTTTGAGATGGTAACCCAGACATTGTTTTTTAAATTTTAAAAAAAAAAGGTTTGGAATATTATTTTATTAATTAAAAATTTATAATTTTGTTTTATTAATAATTTAATTGCTTGGATTTGATATTTTTTGTTTTCGAAATTTTGTGAATCTTGGTGAATTCTTTTTGATCTATTTATATATGAAATTTTTATTTCTCGTAAAGTAGCCATCATCATCATAATATCGTAATACTAATAATAATAAAGGTTCACTTACATAATAATATTTTTCTTCTACGTAATATTTTCGATTATGATATAATGATGACGATGGTATATCTGTAATTTTTTTTTGGCTGGTTTCTATTTTATGACTAACCTTTTTATTATATATACTAAAACGTGACTTCTAGAATTAAAATGTTTTTTACAAATTTTCCGTTACACAAGGACAAAAAATTATCAAACAAGGACAATAACAACGTAAGTTTGAACACAGGCTTGAATTCATATAAAAAAAAAATCATCAAAATAATAATTATTATAAATGTTTGATTAACCCCAACATTGGTTGATATTGTGTCAAGAAGGAATTGTAGAAACCTATAAAATATATCCAATTACCATTGACCAAACAACTCTTCAATCAGAACGGGAAAAAATATCATTAGAGATTAGACTGATTTACTAATTTTGAACATATTATTTAAAATTAAATTTACCTTAAGGACAAACAAAAGTGGGGAAAAGGTGGTGTGACCTTATTTGGGTGTAATTGAAAAATTGAAAGTAATAAATTTATCCAAAATTAAAAAATATATTAATTTTACATGAATAATGCCAACAATCGCTTTACTCTTAAAACGTAACATCATTATGCGTCATTTATTATTATTATTATTAAATAATAAGTTTGATTGATAATACATATTTTTTATAATTGAGAAGTTCATTAAGCATACTGTATTTATTACTTCCAGGGCAAGTTATTATTATATTAGAAAAACCAAAGGTTAAACGTAAAATACAAAATTTTTTATATAAAATCCACAGGTATTATAGAATATATATTTCTCTTAACGGATCTTTCATGCAAAGATGCTCGATTAGATCGATTACTAATATTAAAGACACAATGCCAATGAATATATTACATGATATTTACTTTCGAGTAACACTATTTTTCGTGTTATTGAGGAACAATTAAAAAATTTATTCAAAACCGCAATTTATTTTGCAATTGAGGGTTTAGTTGTTATGATTAATAAATTTCACAATATTTTTTGAACGATCAAATGACGTAGTAAAGTCAAAATAATTTTGATCGACTAACCAACTATATCAGACTAATAATTCCAAAAAAGGAAAAAGCTTTCTTATAAAAGTGGAAGAATTCAAAAATCAAAAACAGCATGTTATTTATTCAAGCAACCATATGTTATATTTCAATAAAATTCTAGATGGGTAAATATATAAATATATATATATATATATATATATATACACAATTAATGATAATGAAATGAATGAACACACTAATTTTAAAATAAACTATATCTCTATACAATAAAGATCATAATACTAATTATCCACATATTCGAGGCTCCATGCGCGCAGTTTTCGGAAAATGATTACAATTTTAGAAATGCAACCTTCGGCGATCTTCCATATACAAAAAAAATTTTTTTATATAGAATAAAAGTATTATCCTGTAGAAATATACTAATACATCCGCTTAATAAATCCACTTATCTGCAGAATTAAAATCATTTTGTAAATCAACATCTATAGTTAAATGGACTTTACGATTCCTCTATTTCAAGGCAAATTTAAAACAGAAACGGATAAAAAATAAATCGACATGGACAATCGATGATTGAAATAGAATGCCCTTTTTCAATCTCCCTGTCCATTTGAAAATTACATAAAATTTGACGGTTCTATAACTTCTTGTATAAATTATTATCATTACAATTTTCAACATCGATTTTCGAATCGAGCAATATTTTAACTCGAAATTCTCCAGGTATGACTGTCGTATCCTCATCCATATTACTCGGAAAGATGAAATAAATGCATGCCAATTTGATATCGCAGTAAATATTCCTGATAGAAACATATCTAATAACGTTTAAATGAATATTTGCCAATCATAAATATTAATGTCTCAAAAACAGACGCTATTGTATTTTAGTTTATAACTTTTTTAATTGTGTGTATTAATTCTTTTCGAGAAAGTAAATCATTATATTAATAAATTTATTTACGTGTAAAAATAATATTTATATATATTATAATTATAATTATATGTTATGCTGTGAATTGAATGCAAAAAATAAGTAAAAAACAAAAGAAACATCCGAATTTTTGTAATTATCAAGAAATAAACAATAGATGAAAACTTAATTTTGTTTTTTTTAAAATAATTAAATTTTTCATCAAAAAGTGAAACATATGTATTGAAAAAGTCCAAAAGAAAACATTTTTATAATATCAATATACACACATATATATTTCAATATGCAAAAAAAACAAATTATCAAGTCTATTAAAAAAACTGTTCCTAATTAATTGCCTGTCTAATAATATATTAATCACTATCCACTCAATCTTTTCTTGGCAATATTTAGTAAACTATATCTTTTCAAACCACCATTATCAAACATACTGTTTCTTTTTGATGATCTATCACTATATCCACCACTGCCGATTTCATTAGACTGGCTTTCATTATCAACCATGATAGGCAGCATTAGAGGTTTGAAACCAGTTTCTAACATCACAGGTTGAGGTTTATTCGGATTATCTAAAGTTTGTTTCAACAATACTGATTGTCTGTTAGATGTCAATTTTTTCTGTTTTGAAGAGATTGCAGGCTTGTTGAACGAGTGCAATCCTTTCTTTTTCTCTTGTTTGACTCGACACGAAACAATTAACGATATTATGAACAATATCATATTTATCCACGTAAATACTATACTTGATATCCAAGATTGGCACGTCAAATGGAAATTGTATGAATCGTAAGCTCCACATTGCAAAATATTACTATTTTTAAATACTGGATTAAGATTTGCCAATGCTGGGAGAAAACAACGATAATAAAGTTAGAAAAATGAATTAATTGAAATTGTGATTATGATGAAGTTTTTTTATAAAAAAGCTTACCAGCTGTTAGCCAAAATGTCGTTAATATTCTGCAAAATAAAATCAAATAAAAATTAGGAATTTTTTTCAAAAAAATTTCACGAAAATAACAATTAAAAAACATTAGAATTTACTGCTACTAACATATCCATCCAGAGAAAAGGTCCTTTTGTCCAGACTCTTTTGAAATTGTAAATATAAAATCCTATAAATTTCAACAAAACAAAACAAATTAATATTGATTAATAAATAATTGACAACACTTTCGATGATATTATTTATACACACCAAGTCCTATTGTGGTTATTACAAATACAAAGAAAACCCATATTTTTATTTGTGCATTCCACCTAAGGTTTACGAATTGTTTAGCATGACTTCTTTATAACAATAAATTCAAAATACATTTATTTGCTTACCCGTCACTTTGTAACCATTCTTGATTTACAACGTTGTTATTAGAAAACTTTGTTAAATATGAATGTGCTGTAAGTTGTATTATCTCTATATAATAAATATAATAAATTAGCATATATATATATATTGATGATGTAAAAAATAAAAAGTACAAGTAAATTACATAATGTAAGTTTACCTAAACTTAAAATTATTATGGTCAGTAATAATTGAAAAATTTTAAAATTTCGAAATATAACTCGATGTTCACGTAAGATCCACATTGTATACGATAGATATTAATTTATATAATCTTTAATCTTATAATAATAACTTTTTTTTTCAAAAATAATAATTAAATAATAGAAAGCCTTCTTCGAATAATTAAAATAAACAAAAACAAAATAAAAGGTTTGAAAAAATCAAATCAATAATAAAACAAATTCTAATTATTTGAAAACAATATTTCTATCATTCACTTTAAAAACTAAAAACTAAAAATAGTTATTATTACTTATTATTATTATTATTATTACTACTACTACTATGATTAAATATCTATCATATAATCACTTTTTCCCTTTAGCTATAGTATATATTTATACTTGGTTTATTTAGATCAGAACAATCGCTTGTTTTTTTTTCTTTGCTTTAAAATTTTGGTCTTTAAGCAATAACTTGTCTTCAGGGAAAAAAAGCGATAAAGAAAAAAAACCGAAATATTCCGAAACTAACGTCTTTTTATATGAATCGTAAAACATTTTATATTATATCAAAAACACAATAATAATAATATAAATAATAATTAATAAAAATAAAAATAAAAATAAAAATAATAAAAATAGCTTTTACGCATGATTACACTTGTTTTTACTAAAAAAAATTAAAAATTTTTTTTAATATAAACAATTGATAAAAAAGGCTTTGTTTCCTAAAAATTTAATCTATTATTTTTCCTTATTTATTTTAAATGCAAATTAATTAAACACAAAGCTACACGATAAATATCATTTCACATTATATGTATGTAAATGAAAATGAAAATCTGCATTTCACATTTGTAAAATCAACCAAGGAAATTGAATTTATTATGTATGGATTTCAATTTCAATATTAGTTAGTTCTTTAATTTTTTAATAGAATTTTGAAAAAAATGTCAAATCAATGTTTTTGTCTATTTTTAAAAAAAATCATAAAAATAGAAACAAAATGGCTGGGATGTTTTTAGAGAAATTAAAAAATTCTTGTAGGAAACTGGTTTTTCTTGCTAAAACATTTCTATTTATTATTATCATTATTGTCTGGGAGGCAAAAACGACAGGTTTAAAATCGATTTTGGCAATAATATGTCAAAAATCGTCAGTCCCTTTTTTTCTATATTTAAAATATCTTTTAGCAAACCTATATATAAAATATTAATAAGCAACCAAGATGTAATTATTCTGTCTCACGTGATATTTGTAACACGAGAGGTCATTTAATTTGGAAGTTCGGAACATAGACAAACCTTATAAATGGATAATAATAACGATTTTTGGAAATTTGGAAAACCTTATGACTTGGAATATTAATCCAAAATAAAAAAAGACATTAAATAATGATCTGAATATTTGTAAAAGTGTAACATTTATTTATTTTGAAATTAAGTCGCACATTACCTATTACTATGCAGTGTTGAAAATTCGTTGATTTGATTAGTTAGTTATTTTCAACAGCATTGAATTTTAAACCGTTAAAATTGGGGCGGCTCCAAAAATTTAATTTTAAAGATGTCATTTTTTGATGCACCATCCATCCACCCCCTAAAATACGTAATTTTTGACGCTTTTTCCTACAGCCTTTAACAGTTTAAATTTTGATGTTTTTACAATATACCCTCGGGACCAGAGATTTTTGGTGATTATAACTAACGTGACTATATAAAACTCCTCTTATTTTGATTTCAAAAATTCGGTGAATAAAATATCGAATATTGTAAAAAGATTTTGTCTTGTTGAAAAAAAATCTTTTTCTATATTTTTATATTTCTTTAAATTTTTATAATCATTTTCATCAAACTCTGAATCATTTTGGCACTCAAAATATTTAATTAACGATCGACTGCTTCCAAAGCATCATCATTAGTCACAATAACTTTTGGTTCATTATTTACTTGTTTGTTTCATCTAAAACGTTTGAAATTATTTCATCGTCATCATTAATATATTCCAAAATGTCTAAATCATCATTAAGATTTGAGAGTGATTCAATTCTTTCATCAGTGTTAATTTTTTCAACCGTGCTTCTTTATTGGTAATTTGATAAAATTCCTGTTTTTTTTTTCAACAATTAACAATTGTATTGTTTTAACAGCATCTCATGCTTTACCAATAAAATTAATTGCTTTTTTTACATATAAATTAATTTAAACTATAACAAAAAAAAACCAACTTTTCAAATTTGGCCAGTTCAAATTTTCTGGTAAAAGATCACTATATGATTGTTTGTAATTAACCTAAAATCTATTTGATCAAAGATTCTATTATTAATGATGCCAGCATCCATAGGTTGTAAATGAGCAGTTGTAATTGATGGCAAAAAATTAATTTTAATATTAGTTAAACGAAAATCATTATTTCACTAACTTTCTAGTTGTTCATCTAAACTTGAGTCTGTATGGTGAGTGCATTATCATTTAAAGGCAAATATTTTTTTTTCTGCCAAATTGACCATCTAAATTTCTTAATCAATCTTCAAAAGTATCATTGTGTATCCATGCATTTGGAGTAGATTTGTAGATTGTAAACAACAAAGACATATTTATTACATCTTGGGTTGATGGATTTTCCAATTACAAAATAAACTTTTGTGTTACCAGTTGCATTAGTTGTCAATAATTTCCTTTGTTCTTTACTAAATTTTATAATTAGTTTTCATTAAATTAATTTGGAATAAGCAAACCTTTTTTCCCCAAAAATTGAACTAATGGAAAGGATACATAAACCAGTTTCATCTGCATAAAAAATATTTTCCAAATCATATTTGCTGATAATTTATTCCTCAACAAAGATAAATTTTCTAAAGGCGTGCTATTAGCTTTTCTTATACTTTTTAGGTTATTTCTATTGAATCCACATAACCATCCATTTGAAAATACTAAACCATTTTTTCAATTCCTAATTTTCACCAAATACTTTTTCCTTTTCTGTAAACACTTATCTGTAAACACTTATCTGTAATAACAAGTCTAGAAGGTAAAAATTCTTTAACTAATCAATTAACCATGTAAATTAAGAGTTAATTGGTTAACTGGTTAATTTAGAAACAGTTGATATTAACAAGTTAATTTAATCATGTGATATTTTTTAACTATAATAAAATGAATTCATAGACAACAGATCATCACATCCTAGACAAAAGTTTCGGACACCCTAAATGTGTTAATCACACAAAAACGTACATAATAAGTACACAAAAAATTATATCAATTAATAGTTTAGGTTCTGAAGATTATGTTCCGAAATTTTCTAGAACTTAAGCAATAAAATCCCAAATATTTTTTGGAAAAAATATTGATCATCAATTTTATTAGTAACTATTATTAATTACGGATATCTTACAGTAGATAAACCCTTATTGATCTAATATATACTTAGTTGGCCAACCCTTACTTTTAATGCATGCTTGAATTATTCGGGGCATACTTTCTATCGAATTTATTAAAACATTTTCAGGAATGTTTTTTAAGTTCATTTTTATTTTTAAATTTATCAGGTCTTTTACGAATTCTTGTTTCCAACTCTTTCCATGGATGTTCAATTGGATTCAAGTCAGGAGACTGACTTGGCCAATTCTTTAAAGTTTTTATCTTATCCATTCTTTGACAATTCTTGTTGTATGAACAGGTGCATTATCATCTTGAAACAAATACCTTCTTCCATTAAATTTATTATAAACAAGTAGGAGCAACTGCAACTCTAGTATTTCTATATAGTCATGACTATTCATTTTTCCATTTACTTTTATTAGTGGTCCAACCCTTTACCCAAAAAACACTCCATACCATTATGACTCTGCCACCATATTTCAATATTGTACCTGGTTCCTGGTGTTCTCCAAACATAACCTGGACCATCACTTTGAAACAAAGTGTACCTCCTCTCATCACTCCAAATGACATTTTTCCATTTTCTAATGGATCAATCTTTCCTATCAAGGCACCAATTTAGATGGCTAATTCTGTGTTGTTCAAGGGGCTTAGCTACTGGAACACAAGAACTAATATTTAAATCATGTAGATTTCTTCTGATTGTTCTAGTAAAGACTTATAAATCAGTTATTTCATTAAATTTATCTTTTATTTGTTCAGCTGATTTACAATTATCTTTTTTAATGATTTTTTTCTATTTAAAATTTTAGGATGTCCACTTTTAGGTAAGGTTTTGACATTACCTCTCTCTTCAAAATTTTGTAATGTATTACTGTGGTCCTAGAAAAACCAAGAATTTTACTTTTGATGTACCACTTTTATAAAGACCAATTATCTGACTATGTTCATTTTCAGTTAAATGTGACATTTTACCAAAATTTTTAATTTTTTAAAATTATCAAATTTGTCAAAAAATTTTAAACAAGAAAATGCAAAAAATTTTATCTTGAGAATCAGAAGATCTTAGATTATCATATATAAAATTTTTAAAATGAATGTGTTATTATATAGTCTTTAGGGAAATTATCAAAAAATTTCATTATTAAGATTTTTTGTCCAAAAATGATCAGATTTTTTTATTTTTAATTGCTTAAGTTCTAGAAAATGTCTGGACATAAGATTTTATATATATACATAATCTTCAGAACCTAAGATATAAATTGATATAATTTTTTGTGTACTTATTATGTATGTTTTTGTGTAATTAACACATTAGGGGTGTCAGAAACTTTTGTCCAGGTACTGTACAATCACCAATTTACATGATTTTTATATAACTGATCTTTCTATGGTTGGCTCGGTCTAAAGACCTCCTATTACTGCGCCACGCGCTCAAATTCAAAAAATTGCGATTTCGTGAATAAAATTGTATTACGATTTAATGTGTAACGGTTTAATCATTCTAAAAGAAAAAAAAATTAAAATTTAAGATGGATTGTTTTTTTATTATTTTACTTGTTATTTACTAATAACTCGAGCGGGCCATGCATGAACTTTGGTATATTATTATTCAATTTAATGAATTTAATTATCAGATCATTTGGAATAAGTTAAATATTAACAAAATATATTTATATTGGGCAAGTTATAATGATGATAATAATAATAATAATTTTATTTTTTTTATTACTAACTTGTATCCATGGCATTATGATTATTGCCACCACCACCACAACCACCACAACCCTTTAGATCTTTGTTCCGAAATATTCAAACCTTGCTCGATGTCTATCATTAATAAATAAATTTCTTTATTGTTAATTATTATTTCTCCAATTCTTTGTATTCATAATTATCAAACAATAAATTAACTATTATTATT